AAAAATAAGAGTGATGAGAATAGATTTGAACCTACCTTTAAGTTTTAGGACATCCACCTTAGCCAATTATGTAATTAGTTTAAGATGCAGCATGTAATTAGTTTAAGATGCAGCTTGTAACAAAATTATTGATCTAACTATATTAATTCTCATTGCTATTACTATATTTATTTGTCGGTAAATTAATTTTATAAAATCGTCCAAAGAAGAGACTTGATTAATGTCCATTTCATTTGACTTTAAATGATATCGTTCAATTCTTGAACCGATGAAATTATAAGGTGCCAAATAAACAATAAAGGATAAGATTTATCTATTTTCAATATATAGGTCAATTCATACATTAAACCGATAACCAATTAATATTATTAGTTAATATTTTTTATGTCTTTTTCTCTGTGAAAATCAAAAATCTATATTTAGTTAGTAATATATTGATCAGCCCATAAATTTGGCCAAAAATAAAATACTATAACATTCTAACAATTTCCATACTTTCTTTAAAAAAAACAATGTTCCAACTCCTAATTTTTAATTTTAAAAACATAGCAATAAATATTTATTGAACCATATGATTTTTAGCTTTTGAAACAATTAATGATTAGGTATATGTGAAAGTCCCCCTATTTGACAAATAATACAAATAAAACAAAAACCCTGCGGCTCCTAAAATCACACGTTGCCCTTTTCAAAATATTTTCTTTTTCTTTGATGAAACTCCTCTCAAGTTCTTATAAATGATTTTCTTTTTTCAAATTCTTGAAACCAGTCGCATTCTAATCATGCCATCTAATTGGATAGTTAACGAAGAAAAATCATAAAATGATCTATATATGAAATGGTTTTTACTGCATCTTTATATTTTGTTTTCATGAAAATATATTTTTATCAATACAAAATTAATCCAAGGAACTCATTCGAGGGAAACTTATAATTGGCAGTAAAAACAATTTCACATCGGAAATGGCAAAAGTACTTAAAAAATTGAATAACATTATTTCCCATATTAAATGGAAACGGAATTGATTTGTTTCGATTGATTAAGATTGATTTTAACTATTTCAAGTTTTTATTTGTTTATTTATTTATTTTTGCTATCAAAATTAAAAGTCAAACTAAGATTTGGACTCTTTTATATATTTATTTCTTTAATGATTATTTAACATACTAATTAGGTGATTAATTTAACATACTAATTAAGTGATTTTTTTTTGAAAGAACTAATTAAGTGATTGTGATTAAATTATTAAAAATTTGAATCAATAACGACTTTTGTGTTTAATCTAGTGTAAAAAATGAAGTTTTAGAATTTATAATCTTTTTTGGTCTATTTTGACTTTATTTTTTCAAACAAATTTGTGTCCTCGATTAACAAAAGAGATTATTCTTTAGACGAAATTTTTATCTATAAAGTTAGAATTTAATATTTAATAATATACCATAATATAATATTTATAATTACCTTAAAACATTGAAAAAGAAGAATGATTAGATCACTAGATATAGTACGATAGCAATAATAGAAGACATTGTTATGATAATGTAACTGTATTACAGTATATATTGATATTATAGGAATATGTTTATTGTAGATTATATAATATAGATTAGATATATTATTGTTGTTATTATTCTTAAATATATTTTTTTTAAATGAATGATGCATTTTGGTTGGAGGCCTAGTAGTGGCCATTTTGCCTTTGGAGAATGTTGGTATGATATAGAAGTGTTTATTGAAGTGTCTTTGTATTTGAAATTTGATTGTGTTGTACCGAAGTGCTACCGAATTTTTTTCCAAAAAAATCAATATAACCTTAGTATTGAATAAATGAACTTAGTGAGTTTACATTTTTATATAGTTACCCTTATTATAGAAATAACCTTAGTAAGTTAAAAGTGTAAATTGAACATTACAGTTGGCATGTTTTAAGGATGGTTTAGACTAAGACTAATGCATTCAATATATTTGTCTTTATAAAACACAGTTGTTATGTAGGTAAAAAAAAATTTTGCCGGTAATTCGAGATTTGGATTGTTACTGGAGGTACGAGGTCAATGGGATATTAAGCCAAGAGTTCTTGCAAGGAATTAGAGGCGTTTATACGTTTTGCAATTGGTAAATTCCCAGTTGTATAATCCCAGTTGTATGGATGGTAATAAGTTGAGGTGTCCATGTAATCACAAGAAGTGTCAAAATAGAGCCTTCTTAGATATCGATACAATTAAACTTCTTTTATGCATTAATGGGTTCGTGGAAAATTATTACGAATGGATACTACATCATGGTGAACCTCGAGTTTCCAGTGGGTCAAGCCACTCTATTCCGCTAAGTTTAGAAGGTCAGCCTCATCAATTTCAGTATGGTAATCGATGCAATGATATGGTAATCGATCCAGGAAGAGTAGAATTTCATTGGGATAATATAAAGAAATCGCCAAACTATGCAGCACAACAATTGTTTTTGACAATGCTAAAGTGCAAGCTAACAGTGACTGTGGCCTGGATGTAAGAATCATTTAGTTCTATCTGTTATGGCAACGATTACTGCACATGAAAAGACACCATTTTTCGAAAGGTGGTTACGATGATTTTTGTGCAGTTAGTAAAGAAATGGCCTAAAGGCCATTCCAATGGTTGATAATTTTTAACCAGGACAAAATTAGTTCGGGGATTGGGACTACCATTGAAAAAAGATTGAATTTGCATAAATAATTGTAGATATATTAGGGCCTTGACTCAGAATTCATAAACTGCAAGTTGTAAATCTTCGCAAGATATCAACGGGGGGGTCCAAGGGACTGGTAAGAGTACAAAGAGAGAAGGCTTTCAAGAAAATGTATATTCCCTCTTGTTCTCGCCTTCAAGAAGGTTTATATGCATCTAAGGCGACACTGAACAAATGACAGCTCGATTATTATTGAGTTAACTAGTCACAGTATAATGAAACTGATGTTATGAAATGACACTATATTTAAATTAATCATGCAAATAATAAATTCAATTACAGGCTGGAAAATTAAGGTCCTGAGCCCCCATCGATTGAGTTTTAAAATACATCATACGAAGGACCACAATCTTAAAAAACGTTTATGGACAGACGTTGCGGTGTGAGCGTCAATGTAAGTAAAATGAAGAATGTTTACATTTACCCTCTAAGTCGTTGCGAACGATGTACCAAATTTCAAATAAATAATAAAGCTTGCAAACTACAATTGATTAATTCATTTTTTATTTCAGGAGAATATACTACAGCTCGGGAGCGTCTTGTTTCTGCTCAGGCTGATGAATCTAAAGCTAAGTCAAGAATTGATGAGGTAGCACTTTATCTCGAGGCTGTAGCGGGCGAGAAGAAGAGGAAGATATATGGCATCGGGTCTCAGGCATCACAATTTTATTGCGGCTCAGCATCTCACACTTCTGGAGCCAGCGTAGGACCACAGCCCGAGCACAGTGCAGAGGAGTTCACTGCATTATGGGCTCATGTTGATGATCAGCAGAGACAGATTGCAGAACTTAGAGCGCACGTCATGCGGCTGTCCGGTCAGCCCGGTGCTGGTACTTCTTCCTCTAATCAGATTGCAGAACTTAGAGCGCACGTCATGCGGCTGTCCGGTCAGCCCGGTGCTGGTACTTCTTCCTCTAATCCTACGCCTGCTACAGATCGAAATATTTCGACATCTCAGTAGCAGCCACTATCGTCTCTTGATCCCGATGCTGCAGACGATACCTTGGTCACCCCTCCCGGCACTACAGCACATCCAGCAGGTACTCCTTCCGGCGATTTGACATTGGATCGTGCAGCTGACCAACCGCGTCGATTTGATTTTGGACCTTTTTAGTTTTCCAGTTGTTTTATGAAATTTTGTTCAGTACATTAACAATTACATTTTGTTGTTTTATGAAATTTTGTTCAGTACATTAACAATTACATTTTGATATTGTTTTTGAATTGCGTTTGTGATCTATATATATGTCAATTTTCACAAGTGCAAAAAAATTCTAGTTTTATAATAATATTTATTTTTTTTCTTTTTTTTTTAATTTTGCAATGGTTTGTGACTGATTTGCAACCAAAAATAAAAACTTTGAACTTAAAATTTGCGACCGAATTTTATAATTGCGATAGAATGTTTCTGCGACCAATTTGCTACAGCGTTTCGAAAGGAAAACACGACCAACTTTCGCGACCAATTTTTTAAGTTTTGCTACCGATTTATCGGTCGCTAATTTGCGACCGCTTAATAAATCGGTCGCAGATCAGTCACTAAGCAAATTTAGCAACCGATTTCTAGCCATTGGTCGCAAAATGCCGTTTTTTTTTTTTTGTAGTGTAAAGGTTCATTTTCTCTAAGTAACATCTCAGGTCTTAAACTTATAAAGTCCTCTCCTTCAATACTTGCACTATCATTTTCATATTTATCATTATTCTCCAATGCAAATATTTCATGCACACATGTATCAACTATATCAATCCTCATGCAATTACCTTCATCCATAGGATATTTCATGGTTTTATCTATATGAAATTCAATGATATCATCACATATCCTAAGGATTAATTTTCCTTTTGAAACATAAATTAATGCCCTCCCTGTGTTCATGAATGGTCTTCCTAAAATAAGAGGACAATTCTCATCATAAGCAAAATCAAGTATGACAAAATCAGTTGGAAAAATAAATTTGTCAACTTTAACAAGTACATCTTCAATAATGCTATAAGGTCTTTTAATAGATTGGTCAGCAAGTTGTAAAACCATATTAGTACGTTTTACTTCATCTTCTAAACCTAATTAGATTGGTCAGCAAGTTGTAAAACCATATTAGTACGTTTTACTTCATCTTCTAAACCTAATTTCTTAAAAAGAGATAATGGCATCAAGTTAATACTTGCTTCTAAGTCACAAAGGTATCTAGGGAATTCTACTTTACCTAACTTACATGGTATGGTAAAGCTTCCTAGATCCTTAAGTTTAGTAGGTAATTTACTTGAGATTATGGAACTACAATCTTCGGTCAAGGTAACTGTTGACACATGCATCTTCCCAACTATATTTCTTTGAGATCAAATCTTTAAGAAACTTCCTGTAGTTTGGAATTTGTGTAATAGCTTCCATGAATGACATGTTAATATGCAAATGTTTCAATTTATCAATAAAGTTTAAGAATTGCTTATCTGTGTCTTGCTTCTTTATCCTTTGCGGAAAAGGTGGACTAGGTTGATAAGCTTTAACGTTATCTTTTTCCTTTTCCTTTTCTTTTGATCCTGCAACATTTACTTCATTGCTCGGTTCACAAACCAGCTCAATAGTTTCATTATTCAAGATATTAGCATCAATACCCGAGGGAACTATTTTATCAACTACCTTTCCACATCTTAGAATAATAGCACTTACATTTTCCCTAGGATTCTTTTTTGTATTACTTGGAAGGTTTCCTACTCCACGTGAGGAAATAGCATTGGCAAGCTGCCCTACTTGTACTTTCAAGTTATGTATAGATGAAGAATGGTTTTTGAATAGTTTGTCAAACTTAGACTCTAACCATTTAAAACTATCATCTTGACTGCTCATTTTCTGATTGATTCCATCTAAGAATTTATCAATTTTACTGGTCAATTGTCCTATTTTATCTTGAGATTGATTAACTTGATTTCCCCTATCTTGATTATCAAGAATTTATCAATTTTACTGGTCAATTGTCCTATTTTATCTTGAGATTGATTAACTTGATTTCCCCTATCTTGATTATCATGGTTTCTCCAAAAAGTATTAGGAAAATTACGATGTTCAGCATTATAATTATTCGAGTATGGTCTGCAAACTTGTCCTTGAACATAGTTCACTTGTTCCTCCATAATCGGATGATTATAATTACACTCTTTCGATATATGCCCATTTTGACCATAATTTTCACAAACAAGAGATGTTGACTTACTCACATTCAAGTTATCAATTTTATATGCTAAAGCAGAAATTTGTGCTTGCATCATAGTTAAGGGATCTAACTCATGTACTTTCTTAACTGAATCTTTTGAAGAAGAAGGAGATGAATCATGATTAACATTGGAACGACTTACCTGAGTCCTTTTGGTTGGCCATATGCTGTTGTTGTCAGCCATTTCCTCCAATAACTCAATTGCATCATCAGTAGTCTTCTTCAGTAATGATCCTCCTGCCATAGCATCTATAGTTCCTCTTGTAGAAGGAGTAACCCCATTGTAGAAGGTTTGAATCAATATATTTTGGGGAAGGCCATTTTGTGGGCAGTGGGCAAACTCGTTGAAGTTCTTTATAGCAATCCCATGCCTCATATAGGGATTCATTTTCATGTTGGGTGAATGAGGTTATTTCTTTGATAAGCCTAGCAGCCTTTGCTAATGGGAAGTCTTTAGATAAGAAAGCTTGGGCTAGTTGTTCCCAAGTAGTGATAGAATTTGGTGGCAACAAATTCAACCAAGCCTTCGCTTTATCCTTCAAAGTAAAAGGAAAAAGGAGTAGCTTGATTGCATCTGCTGGCATTGAATTCATTTTAAATGTATCACATATCTCAAGAAAACTGGCTATGTGAGAGTTTGGATCCTCATTTGGTAATCTGTAAAATTGAACACTATTTTGGATCATTTGTAATAAAGTGGGTTTAATCTCAAATTGGTTAGCATCTCAAATTGGTTAGCATTTACCGGTGGACGTACTACTCCTTTTTGTGAACCATTTAGGCTTGGAGTAACGTAATCCATCAACCTCTGTGGTGGATTTCCCTTAGCCATGATTCTTAAATTTCTTCTTTTCTTTTTCTTTTTCTATCTTGAAAGAAACTGTTCAATCTCAAGCTGATAATCCTCTAATTCACTGTTTGAAGATCTAGTACTTGGCATATAAGTTATTTAATTATGTGCTCCTGCAAAATTTTGAATCAGAAGTAAGTTGGTATCTAAATAAAATAAAATAAAATAAAATAAAATAGGCTGTAAATCACACATAAGAATGTTTCGTTAAATGACAAAACACCGTTCCCTGGCAATTTTTGAATCACCTAAATCAGAGTTATAAATTGAGAGATATGACTGTTGCGTCTCGTTTGAGTTCCCGCAAGTATACGGATCGCAAGTATATGGATCACAACGTAGTAATAAAAAGATCGATCCCACGAGGAACAGGTTATGTCCACTTTACTACTTATCCTTAACACTTATGTTTACAGCAATAGTAATTTGAAATGATTAAACTACAATCGTAGTTAATTTATAATTAAATGTTACTTAATTCTTTAGATAAATATGTAGTAGAATACTTAGAAAAATTGATTATGCACTGGATTTTCTTTTTCTATAGCAAAACATGTAACATACAATAAAGGATTCTTTAATCGCCTACGATAAGCTATAATTCAACCTCTCGGTGTAGAATTACTCTATTTATTATATGTATCTCTACTTATGATAAATATCTTACTTTGTCAAATATTAAACTTATTTCTTATTCTTTGATTATTTTAATAAGACAGATTTAACTTTGACAAAACAAGTTAAAGGTGCATATGCAAATCCAACTAAATGAACTTTATCCCTTTGATCTTTACTAAATTATTTCTTTCTGAGAATATAATTAAGTAAACTTGATTAAACAAAAATCAAAAGATAACTTAAAGAACTCTTATTGAATGAAACATATTGATATTGTTGCTTTGCATAGAAAAGTAATGAAGAAAAACATACAACAAGTCTTTAATAAAAAACAAGTCTTTAATAAAACAAGAGAAAGATAGAAGTAATCAAACTCAAGCCTCCGGAGGGCGCACACCTCGAGGAACTTCTTGATGTTCTTTGCACAAAAAATAATAAGTGACTCTCGTCAACTTATTTCTAAGTACTACTTTTCTTTTCTATTACAATCTAATACTAGTTTTTCTTCTATCTTATTTTCTCTTTTTCTGAGTTTTTCTAAATGTCTTCTTCCTTCATTTGGATTGCAATTTATAAAAGAGGAGGATGATGTTGGTTGTGATGGTGATTGGTTAGAAGAGGAGGATGATGTTGGTTGTGATGGTGATTGGTTAGCCAAAAGGTGCTTCAGATGACTCCTCTTGGGAAAAGTCCCGACCTATGCATGGGAGGACATGATTTTCTGGTGAAAGGGTAGTAGTTGACATCTCCTAGAAACACGACTCGCGCTCGCGAGTTTAAGTGTCGCGCTCGCGATCGTTGCTTATAAAGTCTCTGCCTCTTCTGGAGTGCTTTTCGCACTCGCGCATTTGAATGTCACACTCACGAATTCTGTTTGATGCCTTCTGAGCTTTCTATTACATAGATTGCGCTCGCGCATTTCAGGTTCGCACTCACGAATTCTTCTTTCCTTCTATACAGCGCGGCTTCACTCGCGTCGCGAATTTTGCTAGGTAGGATTTCTCTTTGCCATACTTAGTCAACTTTTGTTCCTTTTTCTTTATAAAAGCTAGCCTTTGCAGTCCTTTGCTCAAATGCATTCATAAAACAACTTTAAAACAAAAACAACACAATAAAATGTAAACTGTATAAAAATAAACACGCAATCATGCAATTCATGCAATTATAACATAACAAATTTGCCCGCTTTGCGAGGCTATCACTAGTCTAGTTAGGATTTATCACTATAAATAGACAGCACTAGTAGTATTGTAACACTAGTAGCATTGTAAATCATCTTATTTTCCTTATAATTTTAATTCAAAGGTTATAAACCTAATTACTGATTACTGTTCCACCTACAATCAACCCTGTTCCACTTACAATCAACCCTATTCTAGCTTACTTGTTGAAAATTGACAGCCCTACATCTTCCCCTGCATCAAATGGTATCAGAGCACAAAAATAGATCCTAGGATTCTTTTTTTGTCTGAATTAAACCATGGTTGGAAGAGGCAGAGGCAGAGGCAATAAGCCCTAATAAGATGAAATAGCTGAGATACGGCGAATGATTGAGGATTTGACCCGGGCTGTACAAGCCTCGCAGCGTCAGGAACCTGTGGAAGCTCGAATGGAGACTCTGGAAGGTAACCACCAAAACCTTGATTTTCAAGAAGCTCTTGAGAGTGAAGAGGATATCGAGGACATAAACCCCTTTCATGAAGCTGGACCTGCAAACCCAGCAGCACGAGGCAAATTGGAAGAGCGTTTACTTCATGCTCTTGATTTAAATAGTGAAGGAGTTAAAATTGAATTTGCTGATTTTCATGGGAAATCGCATGCCGAAGACTATTTAGATTGGGAAACTAGTTTAGAAAATTATTTTGAATGGAAACCAATGGTTGAAACCCAAAAAGTGCTTTTTGTAAAGCTTAAATTAAAGAGTACCGCACTTCAATGGTGGAAAGAGAGTTGAGGAGCAGCGTGCACGATAAGGAAAGCTTAAAATCAGCACGTGGGAGCATATGAAAACTAAGCTAAGGAAGCAATTTTTAGCAGCTGATTACGCAATGGAACTATATGAAAGGTTCCGCTGCTTGAAACAAAATAGCATGTCTGTTGAAGAGTACACTACAGAATTTAATAATTTGTCCATTCGAGTTGGAATATCTGAAAGTAATGAACCAATTACCTCTCGCTACCTTACTTGTTTGAATCAGCCCCTTAGAGATGAAATGGGCATAGTCCGATAACACAATCTTGAAGATGCTCGCCAATATGCCTCAGCAGCTAAAAAGCGAGTTTCTCGTTACGGTGCTAGAAGGCCCATAAATAGAAGCAATTGGAAAAATAATTCGTAGCTGTAGGAGGGATTCAAACAACTCAACGAAGCGGGAAAGAGGCTGCAGCTACTAATAAATACAATGAAGAGACAACCCGTGTTGATGGGAACGATAAAGGGAAAGGTATAGTACCTTATGGTAGACAAAACAATTCTGGTTCGTCTACAAGGAGAGGCAACATTCTCAAGTTCGTTTTTTTACTTGTGGAGAAAAGGGACATAGTTCATTCATTTGTCCACAAAGGAGGGTGAATTTAGCAGAGTATGATGGAGACCTAGGCCCTATTTTTGATGAATATGATGAGGAAGTAGAAGAAATTGATGTTCACCCAGGTCAAGGTGAGTCTTTAGTTGTTCGAACAGTGAGGAAAGTAGAAGAAATTGATGTTCACCCAGCTAAGATTGGAATCTTTAAGTTGTTCGAACAATTCAAGACAGCCATGAACAAAGAAAGGAGAAGAAATTGGAGGAGGCGTAGCCATTTTTTTGTACACGGTTATTTGTGAAGGCAAAGTGTGTAATTAGTCATCTGATGGGACGGAAGTATGGAAAAATATAATAAATCAAAGGAGGGCCGTAGAATAATTAAAGCTTCCTTAGATAAATTAAAGCTTCCTACAACAAAACATCTTCATCCATACAAAGTAGGTTTGTTGAAGAAAGGGTATGAGATACCAGTAACATCTCAATGCTTAGTGCAATTCACAATAGAAGATGATTTGGTAGATGAAGCACTATGTGATGTAGTACCAATGGATGTTGGGCATATTCTAGAGGGACGACCTTGGTTGTATGATCATGACATGGACCATAAGACAAGGCCTGATACTTATTCATTCTACAAGGATAATAAGAAGTACACTTTGCATCCTCTCAAGGATGAAACAAGGCAAATAGCAAATAAAGGAACTGCAACTAGTACATTAAATGGGCTTGTAAGTGTTAAAGAATTTGCAGCAACGCATAGCGAGGTGGGAGTCATGTATGCCTTAGTAAGCAAACTGATAGAAGCTGACCAAGTTGAAAAATCAATTGAATATTCCTTTGAAATTCAACGATTATTGCAAGAATTCAAGGAGTTGATTAGTGAAGATGTACCGAAAAGCTTGCCACAGTTAAGAAGCATCCAACATGCTATTGATTACCAGGAGCAGCTTTACCAAATCTGCCTGCATACCAAATGCCTCCTTTACAGCGGGCTGAAATCCTTTACAGCGGGCTGAAATAGAAAGACATGTTAAGGAATTATTAGAAAAAGGTCTGGTGCGTGAAAGTAAAAGTCCATGTGCCTGCCCAGCCTTATTAACTCTAAAGAAAGACGGTTCTTGGAGAATGTGTGTGGATAGTCGTGCTATAAACAAAATTACAATCAAATATCGCTTCCCAATACCAAGATTGGAGGATATGCTTGATCAACTAGCGGGATCTAAAGTGTTTTCCAAAATTGACTTGAAAAGTGGATATCACCAAATTAGAATGAGACATGGTGATGAATGGAAAACAGCTTTTAAGACAATGATGGGTTATTTGAATGTTTTAAAGAACAATGATGGGTTAATTGAATGGTTAGTAATGCCATTTGGCGCATTTCTAAATGCAC